TGTATTGCCTTTTCTGAACATCAGTTTCTTCATCTTCCATATTCAAATAACTGCTATGAACATCAAAAGATTATACATATATATATATATGTATATATATCCACAAATCATTTTTGTAGAACACTTTTTCCTGCTAAGTTCATCCACCACAGCTAAGAATCCATGAAATATCAATCTTGTTGCTCCAAAAATCTTCATTTCCTTAATCATACAGTCCCATTGATTATATATAATAGTTTTAAGGAGAAACTGCACACTGAAAATACATATTAATTATTCGATATTTCATAGGTTGAGAAAAATAAGAAGTACTTCCTATACTTCAAAAATTGTGGTATATCTCTAGCCTTTGTTTCTGCTCTAAGCATCAGAATCTGATGACCAATTTGATACAACCAAGACAATACCAGTTAAAAATGAATTCAACTAAAAGATGAAATTAACATCTACACTTAGCCCCCCCCCCTTCTCCTATCCCCCTCCAATACAGAGGTTCTTCCTAATTTATTCAACTTTGCTGGTGATGTAAGAGAAGAAATAAATAAGTCGTGCTTGCCTCCTCATTCTTTCATTATCCCTAACCATTCACTCAAGCAAACTTTCTAATTATTTTATCTTAATTTTTTTCTTCAAATCTTACTTTACCTTATTCTTGTTAGGTCTTTCTCCAAGTTCAAGATCTCATCAGATACTACCTAGAGTCCTAGATTATTACAATGTCCTCCTACTAACCCCTGTCTACAATCGCTATTTCTAAGATTTACTAGTTCATTATATAAAGTTTAATTTTATATATGTTGACATAAAATGTTCTACCCTGTGAAAATCACCAAGAATTCATATAACTTTTTCTTTCCCAATGAAAAGCACTAAAACAGACAAGCAAGATAAACTTGAAATTCAGTATATTATACTCTCAAGTCCTCAAGTATTTAATATTCTAAGAAAATATATACAGGAAAAATTGAAAATCAGGAAGCTGGTTCCATGGCACAGCAGTGATGCATTGCTCAAGAAATAACAGATCCCTGAGCCAGTCAATGGCATGATAGTTAAAGTGGCTGGATCCAACAAAGTCAAATGAGCAGTTCAAGTTTTAGAACTGAGGGCTTGAAAAAACACACCAGGTTCATGTGCGTGTGCACCCAAAATCCTAAGAGGAAAATGAAGCAAGGGACTGTATCAGAGCCATTCCCCTGAGGTGGTAGTGCTTTTTTCCTTGCGCTCTTTCTTTCTCTGTCTCTAGTGAGCACACATACCCGATAGCAAAAAAAAAAAAAAAAAGGGAGGGGTCCAGATTTCTACATGGCAACCATGGTTCAATTCTTTGACCCAGTGAAACAAGCTAGGCGCACACATGTTGCCCAGAAATCCAACAGATTGAAGGCTGGAAGAAGGGGATTTCATTGTGACCAGACCCTCTGGAGGGTGCTGCTCTCTCTCTTACACTCTATCATGTATATAGAAAAAAAAAATGAGAATCAGTTCTTACAGATGTCTTCCCAGTGTAATGCATTAGAAGAGAGGGAGGAAGGAAAATTCTGGCTCTGTTCAAATGGCATAACCACAAAAAAAATCACCTAAAAATGTGATCTAAAAAGGTGTTGAGAGAATGATGCAAGCAAGATGGCAGAACAGGAGGCTCTAACTTTCCCTCCTCCTACAGACACCCCAGACAAACATTTTTATAGGAATCAATTCCTTCTGAGAGAAAGCCAAAAACTGGCTGAGAAACTCCCACACTTGAGGCAACTGAGAAAACATCACATTAAAACGGGCTGAGACTCAAACACAAACCTCTCTCTACACAAAATGCCATACAGTGGTAAAGGAAGCTCGAACTCCCTGCTCCTCCCTGAGACCTAAAGAGTTTTCACCATGCATATGGCATCCAACTTTCAGGACTCCCTTGGAGGGTTTGGCTTATACATCGTATTCGTGAGTTTCCCTGCACCACAAACAACAAAGAAGTAGTTGTGAAAGGGCACATAATCACTTCCAGCAGCAATCGCTTGGTATCAGTTCAGAGGGAATGGTCTAAAATGCCCAGCTCCCAGTTTTTCCCTAGAAAGGATTTTTCTGTACACTTTTTCCAGCAGCTGCCTGAGACAGCCCTCTGACTAGCCTACATCTGGGAGCTAGGAGAAAGATAAACAATATAGCCCCATAAACCTGAATGGAGTGTAGGAACTTCCCATGCCTTCTCCCCTAACTTGCTCCCACAATAAATCCAGGTCTACAGGCTTTCCCTAGAAAGAGTATGTGCATACATTGATCATCCCACTTTTAAAGCACCAACCAGAGGAACTGGCTGCTATTTCATCTATCTTTGGGAACTTAGGGAACTCTACATTCCTGAGTCTCCCTAGACAACAGAAAATAAAAAGGTGGTTCATAAATCTTATGCTCATTTCCAGCAACTATGCTCCCAGGTTCAGAGTGTGTAGTCTAAATGAGAGAGCAGCCATCTGCCACTGAGCCTCTCTTTGGCTTGGCACAGAGTAAGTGTGAGATGAACTCCAGTTCTCAGTTTCTCTGAAATTCTCTCTGAAGATAGAAGGAACTGGTACTGGAACTAGACTGCAATCTTTCCAATGGCATTTTAAGAGTCTGGAGTAAAGATTACAGATTTGAGAGGTATCTAAGAACCTCTGGTGAGGCTAATCAGTGAGATCCATATTTTGCCTGACACCAGCCTCACGAGACTGAGAGAGGTGCTTGTCTTATTCAGTACACAGAAACCACCAGAATCAGTGAGATCCATATTTTGCCTGACACCAGCCTCACGAGACTGAGAGAGGTACTTGTCTTATTCAGTACACAGAAAAGACTAAAAGAGTCAAGGATAATGTAAAAATGGGTAACTATGTTACAGATAAAACAAAGGTAAATCTCCAGAAACAACTGTAATGAAATTAAGACTCACCTAACAGGGAATACAAAAGAACAGCCATACAGATGCTCACTGAGGTCAGGAGAACAATACATGAACAAACTGCAAATTTCAACAAAGTAATACATTTTTAAAATACCAAACAGAAATTGTACAACTGAAGAATACAATGAACTGAACTAAGAAAGTCAATAGAGGGGTTTAACATCAAGCAGAAGAAATGATCGCCAAACCTGAACACGAGTCATTGAAAATTATCCAATCTAAAAAGGAAAAATAAGGGGGGGGGGAAGCTTAAGGGACTTATGAGTAATCATCAAGTAGAACAATGTATGCATTATCAGAGTTGTGGAAGAAGAATAAAGGGACAAAAAAATATTTTCAAAAGAAATGGCTGAAAACTTCCCAAGCTGTGAAAGGAAATACGAATTCAGACTTGGGAAGCCCAAAGGGCACCAGATAGGAAGAATCCAGAGAAACCTACATGGAGACATATTATAATCAAACTGTCAAAAATTAAAAACAAAGAGAATTTTGGAAACAACAAGACAGAAGTGACTCATTATATATACAAGGAAACCTACCATAACATTAATAGTGAACTTTTTAACAAAAATTTTGCAGGCCAGAAGGGTGTGGGATGATATATTCAAAGTGCTAAAAGAAAAAAGAACTGTCAACCAAGAATACTATATCTAACAATCTTATCCTTTAAAAACTAAGGGAAGATAAAGGCTTTCTCAGACAAATGCTGAGGAAGTTTAATACCACTAGATATACCTTATAAAATGCCTTACAAAAAACATTAAAGTTAGTTCTCTCTTTTTTGGGAGAGGTTTTTGCTATAGGGCACATGCGCTCGCCAGAAAGACAAAGAGAGAGACAGAAAGCGAGAAATCACCCCCCCAGGGTGGATGGCCACGCCACAATCCCTTCTCCTCCATTCTCCTTTCAGGATCTTGGGCACACACATGCGCACCCAGCTTGAGTTCAAACCATCAGGTCCAGGTCTCAAACCACGGTCGACTACATGTGAGTCCAGCAACACAGCCATTACTCCAACTGCTGGTCCCATTAAAGGTAGTTCTTCAAGCTGAAATAAAAGGACACTAAATAGCAGCACTTTTTTAACACACAAAAAAGTATAAAACTTGGGGCAAGCAGGTGGCATGGTGGTTAAGGTGCTGGACTCCCACATGGCCAACCACAGTTTGGCCTGGTGGCTTACTTTCTTACTTTCCCTTTCTCTCCCTCTGTGTCTCTGGTCAAATTAAGAAAATAAATAATAATAATAAATAAAATTAAATAATTTTTAAAATATCCTCTTTAAATTAAAAAAGTATAAAATTTAGTGGCAATGGTAAATATATAGGCAAAAAATCATTTTTATTACTGTAACAATGGTGGATAAATCAACTGTAATTCTGTTATGAAACTTAAAAGACCAAAGTATTAAGAATGATGAGAATTAAATTATCTTAATAGGTACAAAATATAAATAGTTCTAAACTGTGACATCACTAGCATAATATGGGAGTGGGAAAGTTAAATGCAAGAGTTCCTACATGGAAGAGCAGTTATGTTGTCACATCTTAAAATGGATAAAATTGTAAGTACTTTATGTAACCCCTCTGGTAAACACACACACACAAATACACACACACACATCAGCCTGCAGAAGTTACTCAAAAGAAAAAGAGAAAGTGCGGTGGGCCAATGGGCCCACTTAGACACTTAAAAAATGTTCTTGAACCCCGTTCCAACTTAAGATTACAAAATCAGATTTAAGTATCTTTTTTCAAGTTTCCCAAGTGATTCTAATAGTAGCCTAGTTTGAAAACATGAATAATAATTAGAAAAACCCGGGGCTGAAGAATAAAAAGGCTCAAAAGGGGGAACAATCCCACAAAAGTATCTTGAGGAATTCAGTTTAAAATGGCAGAGTCTGAGCTAGTTTGGCCCACCTCTGAGAGATCTATAACTTTAGTTTTGAATGTTTTGGTGGTCCCCTCCTCCACTCCATCAATATGTTCATTTAAACAAACAAACAAACAAACAAGAAAAATGCCAGTATCAAAATAATGAGACTCTTATCTCAATTTCTTAGGATCTTAAGATTGACAGTGATGTTCAAGAGCCAGCAGAACCAGAGGATGACCTTGACATTATGCTTGGCAATAAAAAGAAGAAAAAGAAGAATGTTAAGTTCCCAGATGAGGATGAAATACTAGAGAAAGATGAAGCTTTAGAAGATGAAGACAGCAAAAAAGATGATGGTATCTCATTCAGTAACCAGACAGGTCCTGCTTGGGCCGGCTCAGAAAGAGACCACACTTACGAAGAGCTAGCTACTGAATCGAGTGTTTAACATCATGAGGGAAAAGAATTTGGATATGGTTGCTGGAGAGAAAAGGAAATCTGTCATGAAACCTCCACAAGTTGTCCGAGTAGGAACTAAGAAAACTTCTTTTGTCAACTTTACAGATATCTATAAACTATTACATCATCAACCCAAACATCTTCTTGTGTTTTTATTGGCTGAATTGGGTACAAGTGATTCTATAGATGGTAATAACCAACTAGTAATCAAAGGAAGATTCCAACAGAAACAGATAGAAAATGTCTTGAGAAGATATATCAAGGAATATGTCACTTGTCACACATGCCGATCACCGGACACGATCCTGCAGAAGGATACTCGACTCTACTTCTTACAGTGCGAAACTTGTCATTCTCGATGCTCTGTTGCCAGTATCAAAACTGGCTTCCAGGCTGTCACAGGCAAGCAAGCACAGCTCCGTGCCAAAGCTAACTAATTTGCTAATCACCACTGATTTTGCAGTGTCTTGTGGAGATTTGGCTGGACAAGTTTACCATCAGAATGGATATACTATTGTGTTAAAAACAAGATAGAAAAGCTCCCCAAGTACTTTCACGAGTGGTCAGTTGGTCGAAATCCTTGCAAGATGCCGATGTTCAAGCTGTTGACATACTCATTACGTACTTTAACAACTGTCAGAGAAACAGTGATATGGGGTAAGGAGATGCTTTCTAAAAATTGTTCATAGACTTGTGTAAAATGCAAGATAAATTAAAGTTATTATAACAGTGAAAAAAAGAAAAAAGAGAAAGGAATCAAAGAATAGTATTAGTGAAAAGTAACATAACACAAAAGTAGACGGCAAGAAAGAGAGATAGCAAGAGAGGAAGAGAAAAAAGGACAAAAATGCAAGACAAACTGAAAATGATTAGCACAACGTCAATTCTAAGTTAATTAATTAAACTCCTAAAAATATAGAGAAGCTAAGTGGATAAGAAAACAAGATCCAACTATACATTGTCTATAAGAAACTCACTTTAGAGTCAAGGATACACAAGTTGAAGTGAAGAAATTATTCCAAGCAAATAGTAACCCGCAAGAAACAGGAGTTGCTAAACTCAAAGTAGTTTGCTAAATATCAAAGTAGACTAACTCAAAAACTATTTCTAGAAAGAAAGATCATTACATAATGGCGAAAAGGTCAATTCAATAGAAAGATATAACAATTGTAAATATATAATACATTCGCCCGACAGCAGAGCAGAAAGGAGATCTGCTCTGATAGATCTGAAAGAAGACATTAAATAGCAATACAATAATGGTAGGAGACCAATACCTGATTTTCTTTGTGTGTGTATGTTTTGTTTTGTTTTGTTTTTCTAGAGTTCAGGACTTTTTAAAATTTGTCCTAAAGTCATTGAAGCAAAAATCATGAAAAAACATTCTGCTTCCCTTCACAATTCCTCAACACAAAATTACAAAACTATTTGTGGGAAAAAATGATTTTGTACATGGAATGAAATAATATAATTCAAAACTTACAGATAAAGGTTAGCTCTATCACTCATCTCTTTAAAAAGTTTTTATGAATATTCAGTCAAAACCAACAAGAGTATCTCCCATGAAACGTTATTTCTATGGCTTTCCAAGTAGACCAAGGACTGCACACTGTCTGGGAATGTCCTCAGAAGGCTCTGTCAGTGAGCAGGTAACAGAGTAAAAACCCAAGTCCTTTATTTCAAATGAAACAGGAAAGACAGAGGGACAGAGGAACTATTCAAACTTCATCTTCCTTCCTTGTGACCAATGGTCTCCTCCTCCTCCTCTGCCTTCTCGGAAGCCACCTCGCCCTCCAAAGCCTCCTCTGCCTCCATCTCAGCCTCCAAAGCCTCCTCTGCCTCCACCTCGACCCCCGAAGCCACTTTCACCCTTAGGCTTGGCCAAGTCCAAGGTAACTTTTTTTCCATCAGTTTCACCATCTTCTATGTCTTCCTTGGCAGCTTTGGCATCTTCCTCACTGTTGAAGTCTACAAAACTAAACCCTTTGGAGGATCCTGTTTCCCGGTTCAGTGACTATCCTTGCACGAACAGAGCTGTCAAAAGACTCCTTTAATGTCTTTTTTGGTGGTATTCTCAGACAGATCTTTGACAAGCAGAGTTTTGGAGGGCTGACTTCTTGCGTTAGGTGATCCCCTGGGTCCTTGCAGCTCCAGCCTGATGGCTCTGCCTTCAATTTCCCTTTTACTACAGGAATTTAAAGCTTCTTTAGCATCTTCAAATAAAGCAAATTCTATAAATGCATACCCTTTAGATCTGCCATTTTGCCTCTGAGACACTTTGATAAAAGTTGCCTTCTCAAATACTTCCTGAAATGTTTCTTCTAGTTGCATTGTGGGAGAGGTTGCTCAAAACCAGTTTTTGCTATTCTTTCCACCTCTACAGTCTTGATTTTGTCCTTTCTCTTGGTGTAGTATAGGGAAATGGACCACCCATCAATCTCTGGTCCCTGCTTTACTTCAAAGGCTTTCTCTGAATCGGCTTCCATCTTAAATTGATTATTCCATTATTCCAAGATATACCATCTTTGCTGATTATGCTGATCTCCATGGCATCCTCGAATACTTCTTTTAATTCATCCTGAGTTAAATTGTCACTGTTGTAGGTGAGATTTTTGGCCAAAAGTGTTCTTACATCTTGATATTTCTTACTGTCTTTCCCTTTTGGTTTCTCTAGTCTAATTTCAATGCCAACGACTTTTAAATCAGTGAATTCCAAAGCTTTTTCTAGATCTTTAGCAGATTTGGTCAACATAGCCAAACTTCCTAGATGTACCAATTCTGACATCCACAACTGCAAGATCATTTTTAGCAAAGACATCACTAATACCACTTTTTAATTAAATCAGAAATAGATTTGTTATTGTTCAAGTTTCCAACAAACGGAAGGAAGGATATAGCTGGTTCTATGGCTTCCGCCTTCTGTTTCTTGGTCTCAGGAGCTGCTTTCTGTTTGGTCATTTTCTTCTTTTGTTCTCCAAGGTCTTCTTTGACAGGCTCCTCTTCTTCCTCTTCTTCCTCATCCTCATTGTCTTCCTCATCATCTTCCTACTCATCTTCCTCATCATCATCCTCTTCATCTTCAGCCAGTTTGGCTTTCACAGGTGCAGCTTTTGCAAGAGTTGTTTCTCCCCCTCCCCCTTTGGCTGGTGTGGCCTCCATACCTGCTTCTTAAGACCCATCTTCGGGACCAGCAGTTAGCGTAATGGCTATGTAGCTGGACTCCCCTGTAGTCGACCGCGGTTCGAGTCCTGGACCCGGTGGCTTAAACTCACGCCGGGTGCGTGTGCGTGCGTGCCCAAGATCCGAAGAGGAGAATGGAGGAGAAGGGATTGCGGTGTGGCCATCCTCCCTGAAGGGTGATTTCTCACTTTCTGTCTCTCTGTCTGTCTGGTGAGCGCACACGCCCTGTAGCAAAAATCTCTTAAAAACAAACAAACAAACAAAAAAAACCCAAGACTCATCTTTCCCAGCCTCATCTTCATCCTGATCCTCATCTTCATCATCATCCTCCTTCTCCTGCTCCTCCTCTGAGGCTGGGGCTTTCATCACTGCTGGCTCAAACTAGCTCAAATTCGTCCTCATTCATCCTCATCTTCATCCTCATCCTCATCCTCATCATCTTCATCCTCATCACTGTCTTTTTTTTTTCCTTTTGAGAGGTTTTTGCTATAGGGCGCATGCGCTCACCAGACAGAGACAGAGAGACAGAAAGCGAGAAATCACCCCTCAGGGGATGGCCACACCGCAATCCCTTCTCCTCCATTCTCCTCTCAGGATCTTGGGCATGCACGCACAGGCGTCTGGCTTGAGTTTTAAGCCACCGGGACCGGGACGTGGACCGCAGTTGACTACGTGGGAGTCCAGCAACATAGCCATTATGCAAACTGCTGGTCCAAATCACTGTCTTTCTTTTTGGTATTCTTGCCATTCTTTGCCCCCTTGGCTGCGGTGGAAGCTCCTTTCTTATCAGGAGCTGTGGCCAATACTTTGCCTGGAGTGGCTTCCTTCTTGCCAGGTATAGTGACTGCTTTGGCTGGTGTAACTATCTTCTTAGATGGTATGGCAGCTGCCTTTACCTAGGGTGACCATTGCTTTCTTGGCAGGTGTGTCAACTGCAACCTTTTTTGTTGGGGAAACTACCACCTTCTTTGCTGGAGTTGTGGCCTCCTTGCCTTTCTTCTGAGGGATGATAACCTCTTCTCCACTGCTATCATCTTATTCATCTTCTGACATTTCTTCATCCTCACTGTATCCTTTGGAGGAGGAGCCATTTTTTTCGGAGGGTCACCTTGATTTTTCCCAGTCTTAATGAGCCTCACTATGATGGCAGCTTATGATGATGGAGTGTGTGGCGAGCGAGTGGCACAGGCGAGTCCTGAGGAACTAAAGTGACACTGATGGCAGCCATGGGCACTGAAGATTGTAGAGCACATACGCTCAGCTGCCAGCTAGAGCTCAAGACGGAGGCAAAAGCCTGATTTTCAGTAATAGAACATCCAGACAGAATGTAAACAGCAAAGCTGAACAGCAAAGTGGACCAATGTATTTAAAACAGAACTTTCTGCTCAACAGAATACATATTCTTTTAAAGTGAGCATGGAACATTCTCCAAGATGGAGCACATGTTAGGTCAAAAACAAATCTTAACAAATTTAAGAAGATTGAAATCATACCAAGTATCTTTTCCAACAATAACAGAATAAAACTAAAACTCACTAAAAGCAAAAAAAAAAAAAAAAGGAAAAATACGTATATATGTGAAAACTAAATAACATACTCTTGAATAACCACTGAGTCAGAGTAAATCAAAAGGGAATTTTAAAAATGGTGATTCACTGTACAAACATCATACAGTGTCCTCACACAAGCCTAGATGGTACAGTCTACCACACCTCTAGGTTCTATGAGCTAGACTGCTGTTCCTAGGCTCCAAATCTGTATAGCATACGCTACCACAGTGAATACTGTAGGCAGCTGGAACACAATTATAAGTACTTCTATATCTAAATACATCTACATATAGAAAGTTACAATAAAAATACAAGTATTAAAGAATTAAATGGTACAATGGAATTTATTGTAACTTTTACTAGTAACGTTTAACTTTTTGACTCTTTTGTAATAACACTTAGCTTAAAACATAAACACACTGTACTGCTGTACAAAATTTTTTTATCCTTTTTCTATAAGCTTTTATTTTAATTTTTTTAAACTGAAAAAACAAACAAACAAACAAACAAACAAACAAAAACTAAGAGAAACATACTTATTAGCCTAGGCCTACACAGGGTCAGGATCATCAATGTTACTGCTTTCCTTCTCCACATCTTGCCCCATTGGAACAGCCAGGATGAACAAGCAATGAGATTAAATCAAACACAGAGAAAAATAACACAATCAAGAAATGTGATAAATACAAGATGTATTAGGCTGCTGCAACATAACAAAGCACACTATTATATGATAAATGTTTTTGTATAAGTAGGAGAGTGCACTCTAGAATAATGACAA